GAAACGCGTACCGAAAGATCGAGTGGCTTAAGCGTCGTAAAACGATTTTATATATTCGCCAATGCGTTTGCTACTGTGACTGTTCTTCGAGACGCCGAGAGAATGCTTGATCCGCACGCGTTCTCGTACCGAGGAGAACGAGTCTATACTACGAGAAAAGACCACGACGTTGTATGCGTATTTAGTGTCGGCGTTACCTGAGATATCTTGAAAGAACGTGGTGGTACTCGGGAGATGACTACCAATTTCATTCTTTTTTTCTTCTCTCTTTTTTTTTCCTTCTTTCGTCGTGTCGTTCACGATCGTGCGCGCACAGAACGACACAACGTGTTCGTCGCGAGGCCACTTCCGGTATCACGTGTCGTATCGTCTGATACGTACCGCAAGAGAACAGAGACACACGCGCGGACTTTGGAACTATTTTTTTAAGATAATGTCACACTTCAGGCTCTCGGCAGTGCCCCTTTTTTGAAAAAAAAAACGAGGGGGGAGGAGGGGAGGGGCATTGCGCGTCGAACGCTCCAAGCACACACTGAGCTGATTTTTGTACAGAATTCGATCGATTTTCGAGTTCTTCCTTTCCGTTTCTCACCAGTACGGCAATGGAGGGATGATGGGAAATGAAGGGACACGCGAAACAAAGGAAAAGGAATAACGGGGAAAAAAAAAAAGGAAAAAGAAGAGGAAGAAGAAAACGGAGTATAACCAAGCGACAACGACGATGGGACAAAGGATTGACTCGTAGCTGTGTAATGTGATCAGAGGAGAGACTGTGTTCGTAGCAGTGGCCTGCTTAGGTGCTTAGAACCACGGTGATTCAAGGACGAAGACGAAGCGTCCTGCCACCTGGATCCTCGTTTCTCAAACTGCCCTCCGTGAACTTTGCGCTCCTTGGCTCCATGACTTCTTGACCCGGGGATGAGATGAGGACCGAGAAGAAAATCCCCGTTAGATCGAAACTCTCGCTGAAAGAGGAAGGAGCAAGTAATAGCTGCGATAACTATCGAATTCGAATTTTGTTCGACGATCCTCGAGAGACGAAATGGTAAAGAAAAAAAATTTCGTACGAGACAATTTCAAAAGAAGGAGAACGAACGTTTGAGAAATGTGATCCACGTGGAAGGACGATTCATGCATTCGCGCGAGACGAGGCGTGCCTTCCGTATATTAATTGTTGGCAAATTTCTGATCTATAAAACAGGAATGGGAGAATGCAACCGGTATAGATTCAGGCAAGTGCCTCATTTATGCGTTTCGTTTAAAAATGAATATTCGAATAGAAGAAGGGGAAGACGTTGGTAAACGTGTGGAGAAAGAGAGAGAGAGAGAAAGAGAGAGAGCGAAAGAGAGAGCGAAAGAGAGAGAGAGAGAGAGAGAAAGAGTTAAAGAGAAATATAGAGATTTATGTAAGACTTATTCGAAATATTGTTGTGCACTTATTGCCGTGCTGTGAGTATATTGGTTATTAGCAAGAGAGAATTGCGGTGTGTTGAAGCACGTGTACGGTTATTAAGATGAAAAACAATAAGGAAAGAAACATTTACGCGCGTTGTGTGGCGCCTTCGAGGAGTTACGTATTTTTGGCTGGGACGTGTTACGAATCGATTTATAACTGTTTAACGGTGTTCCGGGCGAGATATAGAAGGAGGTGTATCTTTTTCTTCATCCTTCTTTTTTTTTTTTTTTTTTTTTTTTCTTATTTTATTTCGTAAGATAAACCGAATAATACTGGATTGCGAATGAATCGCTCGAATCCGATTATCGATGATTTTATTTGACTGCAGGATACACATATAATACTGGAGAGATCAAGATGGGATATAAATCTTGCGAATGCAAGACAGAACTGTCGATACATAAAACTGGTAATAATTTTTATACATTTTAAGAAACGTACACGAAGATATTGCAACGTACAACCGAGAAAAGAAACAATACGAAAGATTTTTATCTTTCTTGTATCAATAATCACGTCGTATAAATGTTTCAACGCATTTTCATACTGTAAGCTTTTACTAAAATTCAGTATTCGTTTCTCCAGTGTCTTGCGAAACACTAAGAATATTATTTTTCTCCGCTGGTAGAGATATTAACGAGAAAGATATTTAGAGAACGAGAACTATCTTAAAGAAGATCGTTTTTTAACTTATTTTAATCATGTATATATATACATACACATTATATATATATATATATATATTACGCTACGCTATACCCTAATCAAATCTAAAGCAAAGCAAAGTATATCTTCGTAGAGGAAACGTTCGAACAATAAAAAAGAAAAACGTTTAAAAGCAAAAAAAAAAAAGAAAGAAAGAGCGAGAGAGAGGAAAGAACAAAGATTCGGATGATAAAAAGATTCTATCGTATAAAAGGTATATAGTTAATAAATGAATTTTCATCGTTCCTCCGAACAGTTCGATCTCGTTGGGAAAGCGTTGCAAAAAGTTGAGAACTCCGAACGGAGATTCGTTTGGCAAGTAAAGTCACCGGAGAGACGGGGACGTGACCAAAGGATATTTCAGATAAACGCATTCGCGCGATTCGCTTCAGCTGGTATTCCTGCATGTTAGCCGACAACTTAGCGAAAATTTGGTAGCGTGTACGACAGTTCTCTACGACAAAGTATCCTCGAAGAAAACTCGGTCGAGAGAGAGAGAGAGAGAGAGAGAGAAATAAGGAAGAGAAAAATCCTTGGCGTGTTTGGCAAGATGCCTTTGACAATGGCGTAAATCGGTCTTACTAGCGTACAATAGCGAACACTGGAGTGTATTTCCTTTGCAGCTTAAACCGTGGATAGAGTGCCTGCAAGAGGCAGCGGCTAACGTTTGTCCCAGATATCGGGCAAAGATGGAAAGAGAACAAAAGGGGCAATGTAGATCGAGAAACGTGGCCGTGATACCACGGTCTGAAAATAGAGCGATCCTCGATCCTCTGGCTCTTCGTCGAATCAGCGTGTAAATATAGGGAGAGACAAACGATCGCGATGGTTAGCTCTTAGTCGCCAGATGCTTTTTTTTTTTTTT